ATGTCTGTGAGTTAATGGTATTAGAGGTGATAATTGGGGAAGCTATCTATGTAATGGGTAAGGTAGTTGGGGTCTTTGTTCAGCCCCCTGCGGAGAGTGTCGAATTTTAGCATGAATGCCAGTTCAGAGGATTCCCTTTCAAGTGCAGATTTGAATGTCTTCTGAAGTAGGATGCATGTGATTAGGTCATTGAGACAGTGTCCTTTCTGGTTGAAATGGCAAGCAACTGTTTTTTCTTTGTGATCCTGTCTAATGTCTGTTTTGTGGGCATTGATTCTTTGGCGAAGTGTCTGAGACGTTTGTCCAATGTACATAGCAGACGGACACTTTCGGCACATGATAGCATAGATTATATTTCTGTTTGCGCAGGAGTGGTCAATAATTTTTGACAGGGGGCCACTCCAAGATTTTGGAAAGTGGTTGAAGGCCATGTTCTTCCATGATATTAATGGAGGAAATGCAGGGTCTGGGATGGAGGTTGGGTTCAGAAGGGAGTTTGGAGTAAGGGATTAGGGTGCAGGAGGGAGACTGGAGTATGGGAGGGAGTCTGGGTGAAGGACGTTGTGACCTAGGGCAGGGAACTGAAGTGCAGGGTTTTGGGATGTGACCTAGAGTAGAAGGGGGTTGTGATCTGGGCCAGGAGATTGGGGTGCCAGATCTGGGAGGGAGTATGGGTGCCAAGGGGACACAGGATTTGCGTATGTTGAGTGGCTTCCCTCCTCCCTTCCAGTTTTGAAACAGAAACGGAGCCCTGCAGCTGTGTTTCTGCACGGCACATGGGGCTGCGGGGCAAGCAGGGAATCCTGCCTAGGGCTCCCAACTGCCTTTCTGGGCCAGATCTGGTGGCTTGGCAGGCCAGATTCGGCTCATGGGCCTTATTTTGCCCCGGTCTGACCTATAGGCTCCCTCAGGAGAGGTAGCTGCAGGTGGAGGGCTCCAGGGAATAGATTAGAGCAGGACATTAGCAAGATGGCACATAAAGCCTGTAAGCCAAAGGGCCCGGGACTGAGTATGTTTAAGAGCAGTTGACAGGGGCCCTTCATGTATTTGTTTATTACTACTATTATGATTATTGGTGTAAAAAATGTTTTTCTTGAGTCTTGACTATAACTTGATCAAGAAATCTGAACCTGGACAAAAAGTAATTGACTAACCTTGAGCGTGTCCCTAGGGTAGGACCAGTGTGGGGGTGGGGGTGGGAGAGCTGAGCAGCCAAAGTGAACTCCAGTAGGGGCGGCTAGAGAAACAAAAGTGTGAGCAGCTGTGGCAGGAGTGCTGCTATTGGCTAAAGCAGCTGCAGCTTTGCAGGCAACCATGAAGGGCTATGGACCGATGACTGCAAGACATGAGGCTGCCAAGTGAAGGACAGAGGAGAACTCGCTAGCAAAGCTGCAGCTTGCACATTAGCTATAGGAACTGCTGCCAAGGAGGGGCTAGCTGGGAAGGTAACTCTCCTGCTGACAGCCAATGCCCAAAGAGGACCACAACTGCAAGTTGGACTCTCCTCAGAAGGAGCAAGAGGAGAGACTGGCTCTATTACTGGTTCAGCGGAGACACTGGTGGCAGTAACAGAGGAGCAGCTGACCAGAGACCGGTGTTACAGAGTCTGTCAGTTGGGGCAGCAAAGACAGTGACCCAGCAAAAGGGGAGATGGCCCTGCTGGAGTATGCAACAGGTAGCTTGAGATGACCCAGGGGAGAATCAAATGAGGAAAAAGGCTTGACAGGAATAGTTTGACTACTGTTCTGCACTGCAGCTCAGGAATCCCCAGAGAGGTGGGCCAAACAGCTGTGCCTGTTTCCAGGAAGTGCAGGAGTCCCAGAACCTCAGCTGTAGATGTAAGAGCAGAAGTGGTTGGGTTTCAGACTCACTAGGAGAAATAGCCAGCATCCTCAGGATACCAGACTGGACCAGCAGTGGCTGGAAAACAACTCTTTGAATCGTACACTGCCCTAGTAGGTGGCTACCTGAGGGGAAGAGTCAGCCTAAGAAATGAGGGGTTGGTTGGATTGCTTCAGAAAGTGGGGATTCAGGGAGAATGTTAGGAGTGTAGGAGAGGAAGCTATAGGGTAGAGAAAGGGGGATAAATACATACCGCAGTTATAGGCACAGTAGTAGGTCACCGCATGCAGAAGAACACACAGATATTGAGGGGGAGTTGCAGTTCTCTTTAGTGGGCATCATAGCAGTGGATTAAATAATTAAGGAATTCATCTGAAAACATCTGGAATATAATAAGGTGATAGGTAACAACCAGAATGGATTTTCTGCTGCTTGTAGACACGGACCCTATGAATGCCCAGAGCCCCATCATCTTGTTGGTGCCTTTTTCTCCTGTATCATACCAATGACGTCGTGGCTGGGGTGGGTGGAGCTGGCCCCCGGCTAGGCTCACTTCTTCTGCAGCTTCCTTTGCAGTAGCCTCCAGTTCTCATGCTGCTCCTGGCACTTCTCCACTTGCAGGCTGTAGCACCAGGATGCCATTTCAACATGTTCCAGCTTGGCTCCCCATTGCTTTCTAGCAGAGGGTAACAAACACATAGCTCTGCCCTCTTATGTGTGTACTGAGCATTGTGTGTCTCACAATAGGGAGGTACACTGGTGGTGAAGAGTTATGCCGTGGATTTTTCACTGAAGAAGCAAGCTGACAATATGAATTGTCTCATGAATGGAAGATCACAGCCAAGTCTGGTTGTAAAATGCTGGAAGGACTTTGGGTGAGCATTGCTCTGAAAGACATGAAAGTATCTAGTTATACAATTCTAGATTCTAGAATACATCCGAATTTTATTTTATACATAACAGTTTGTTTCCAATACTTTTACTCGGTATCACTTGACTGTCTATGCTTTGTTAAATAAATGTTTACTTGATTTCACTATATACATATGCGGTGTGCTGAGTAGAGCCGTGAACCGAGATGGAAAAGGAAAGCTGGCAAACTTCTGCTTCTTTACAAGCAACGGATCTGTGAATATGGCGAGTGGCCAGCAGAATAGGTGCAGGACACTTCAGGAAAATGCTCAGAGAGCTCAGGGGTTAGAGCATGCCTGTCACTAACATGTGGAGAGACCAAGGCCTGCTTGTGTTGCTCTTGGTCAGTGAAGCTGGGGTGATGATCCACACCTGGCAAAGACAAGTCTCTCTCATCCTAAGGACAAGTGGTAGCAAAGTGCCTCACAAGCTTGAGTACTCCTAGGAAGCATCACATTAGCACATGCCTTTCCTGGTCAGTGAAAGGAGTGAGCCATAAACAACTGGTGCTACTCATGACCACAATAGCCAGTTCCTCTTTCAGGGAAGGAATCTTTGCTTCTTCCTTCAAACATCTGACTGACACTGAAGAAAACCACCTGGGATATATCAGTTCTAGCCAATTATCACCCAGAAACAAACTTTCTGTTACTGAAAGCTCACAGAGAATTAGCTGAAACCACCTACCAGCTCATGCAACAGAAGCTAATCTTCTAGACTTGTCACAATGTGTATTCACACCAGGACATTGGATGGAAACGACTTTAGTGTCACTGATTGATAGTGATCTTCAGCTGTCCATGAATGGTGGGCAAATCCATTTTCATTCTTTTGGATTTGTAGCACTCAATACTACCCTCCAGAAGATATTGTTATCTGCCTGAAAGAGGTGGCCAGGGTTCAGGGAAAAGTGTAATAATAACTTTGTTATTTCCCTCAAAGACTAGAGCACTGTGATAAAGTTAGGCATGAAGCCCTCAGACTTTTGGAAACTCCATCTAGCACAGAATGCTGCTACAACATGAACTATGGTGAGCACATCAAACCTGTGTTCCACTCTCTCTACTGGCTTCCTAGAGAACATCACGTCAACTTGGCCTGGACGCAGCATATCCAAAGATTGCCTCAATGAATGAACATTGTGGCCAATAGCTCTGCTCCTCAGGCACCAGAGAACCTCTACCATCATGAGGGTAAAGCTCATCTGTGCAGAAGACAGCATTTTTCAGAGGCTGATCTAGCACTCTGGAATGAACTTCCACAGAAACTAAGGAACAGCTCACCATCTTCTGCCCCAACTGCAAGACGGATGTCATCAAGCTGCCTACTTTAATATAAAACACATAGTACATTGTACTTTAAAAAAAACCCTAAAACCCCCCAAAAGTTACCAAAACAAAAGACTACACACACCCAACTTTCCCACTGTGGAGAGAAGAAAGAACAAACCACATGTTACAGAGGTTAGTTACATTGGTCACTGTGTTCTCAGATAGCATTCAGATACTACAGTGGTGAAGGTGGTATAAAAAATCTATATAGAATAGAACTATGCATTGCCTGTGGAGATTGAATGTACATGTCCATTAGTGGTTTCTGAAAATATCCCTTGGAAATTAAATCGCAAACAGGAACTATAATTCAGGCATGGATAGGATATTGAATCAGTGTGAAGATGAAACATGATTTATACCATGATGGAGAAAATGAAGCTCAAGCATTCTGGAGTGCAATAAATTCATGGTGTAACATAAATTAGCTCTTGATAGAGGAATTGAAAGTGGAAATGTTTGCTATTTATAAACATAATTAATATGCTAATCCTGAAATTTCTAAAAAAGCTCCTTTCCTGACCATTCACAAATCTTCTCAAGGTTCAGTTTGTCCATAGGACCTATCGAAAACCAGCTAGCATTTTATGTTTGTGTTTAGCTGATTGGAGTGAGACACGGAGAAACTTGACAATGGTGATAAGTGTATGATAGTGCTATACCCTCTGCAGAGGTTGCCAGCATTGTGTTGCTGAATTAGTAGATCCAATGCCCAGGATGGACTGCAAGGGTTTGTAAGTGGAATCTTGTACAGAACCAAAGTCTTCCTCCATCAGCTGACTCGTAGTTTAATAATTCTATTGAAGCACTACCCTAAAGTGCAGTCTATACGCCTACTACAGTAAAACTCCAATAGTCCGGCATCCAATAGTCCGGCACTCCTGATAGTCCGGCATCAAAATGGCAAGAGTGAAGTGAGTGAGCTTCAGCAAAAATGAGTCACAAGTTAACAGCGGCAGTAGCTGAACTGAGCAAAAAGGTAAAAAAGGCTTAAAAAAACTAAAATATTATAGCATACTGTATACAGTATGTACAATAAAAAGGGTTAAGAACACTTTATATACAGTATATAATGTATATAGTGTATATATATAACCAGTTTATAGTACCTCCTGATAGTCCAGCACATCTGATAATCCGGCACCACCTAGGTCCCATAGGTTCCGGATTATCGGAAGTCTACTGTATCCTGCTATTCAAACCTATTTACAAACTCGCTTATCTATAATCCATTGTGGTGATCACTGGGCCTTATTTTCTAAAGGGCAGAAGTTAAAAATTTGTATGAAATTGTGTATGAAAATTAGACACATACATACATACGTTTGTTCTTGGCTCTGAGGTTCTACCCTTTACAGATCATGTTAATTGTATCCATTATTTCCATGAAATATCTTAGTTGCTCCCTTGCAGCATCCTATTTGTAACTCTGGTGAGCTTGCAGTCCTCACATTCCTTCAATTACATCCCAATTATTCCCATGATTATCCTTTGTAGATAATTTTCTTTCACTGAAAACAAATTTTTTCTGAACTATTTCCAAAAACGAAAAAAGGGAATAATTTAGGGGCATGGAAAGCCACTGCAATACACCCTGAATGGACAAAACATGCTTATATCTAGCCCCTGATATCTATTTGTTGAAAATGAACATTTTTTCTATAGCTTGCAAGACTAAAGCCACAAACAGTAAGTGACAAATGACTCTCAAAGGGTGTAATCTGGTTGAACCTTTTCTTACAACATGCAATAAACTTTAAATAAATAGATTTTGGGCTAAACATTCACTTCTTTCATAGTGCAGCATCAGGCTCATGTCACTTGTCATTCCCTTATCCAAGAGACTGGTTTATGTTACCTTATGTACACAAACCCCAAACTATGTTCACAGAATCCTTTAAAAGAAAATAGGCATTTGCAGTTTTTCTCATGTGAGAAAAGTAGATACAGATTTTAAAGGATTGGCTTGTTTAAATACCACTCTTTTGCAATGGTTGTTTTTTCTGAGAAAGAGCAGTTAAGATTACAAAGTCCCAGAATGTCAGAAGGTCAAAGTCTCATAACAGTTTTCTTTTTGTTGAGGAATAACACATACAAAGATCAGATTAAACAGAAGAGTAACTTCTTATTCTCATTTGGATTCCACAAGGTCAGCCAAGGAATTGGGAAGACACATTTTTCAGCTGCAAGTGATATTTACAATAACTTTTAAAAAAAAGTAATGAAAGGAAGGCAGTTTAAATTATTTAGAATTTTGTAAATTAAGAGCAGCCTCAATGGCTAGATCAATATTGATAAAGGTTGGATGCACCCCAGTGCACTGTATCACAAGGAGGGCTTGCTGCTGGTCCAAGGCAGAATAATAAAAGTTCTCAGATACATCTATCTGGTTCATTGTCATCACTATCCCATCCTTTGCACTATCTTTATTCATGGCCACCAGGGCTGACTTATCCATTAGGCACGGTAGGCATAGTACCTAGGGCCCACGATACTTTTAGGGGCCCTCGAAAAATTTTTAATTTCTTTTAAAATCTGAAGAAAAAAAATGAACTTTTAGGGTCCCAAGAAAATGTTTTAATTTTTTTCTCACATCAGAAAAAAATGAAACTTTTAGGGCCCACGAAAATCTATTAAATTTTGCCTAAAACAGAAAAAAAATAAAATGTTGAAATATTTAAAGTTATATCAAAAATAATTTTTAATATTCTTTTTTTATGGAGGAAGGGGCCCACGAAGGCAAAAGTGCTTAGGGCCCACGAAAGTCATAATGCGGCCCTGATGGCCACACGTTCCATTACAAACCTTCTCTCCTTCTCAGAGCCTCATCAATCTTAATCTGACATCAGTTAAGCAAAATAGAGAAAGAGAAGGATGTAAAAGTAAAAGATGGGGGAAACAGTTTGTATAAGATGGGGAAAACAAAAGGCAGACGCTGCTACTGTGCAATAAGTACTCCTGAGCCAGCAGATTTGACCTGCACAATTAGAAGGGGGGAGGAAACAGTGGCTGTGCATCTATTTTGTGTTTCCAATGTTCTGGATGATAAACGGCATGACCTCTGCCCTATTAGTGAGAATAGGGAATGTCTAATGTATGGCTGCTGCCCACGGCTCTAAAAAGACATCCCGAATAGCTTCTATACCATTGTGAATTCCCAGGATGCAGGGATCACCAGGTTCTGGTCCCTTTATGCTGGTGTAATGTAAAGTAGCTGGATTGGGCCCCAGAATCAGACCAGTTTTTCCATTTCACAAGAGACTAACAGATATAAAAAAGCCAAGTAACACTCTAGTGCCTTTTAATTGCTAGGAGAGCAAGACTTTCTGGCAGTTTCATTGCATGGACTCAATGAGGATCTTCAGCAGACCCCTAGTCAAACAAAAACAGTATTTAATACTTTTCTAGTGCTTCTTCACAATGGAATCTAGGCAACAAAATCAATTTAATGTAGCAACAGTAGCGGATGGTGATTAAAGACTGCTTGATTATGACCTTTTCTTATGCCCTTCTCTTCCTGAAGTGACATTAAAATGGATCATTAGAAAAGAGAAACATAAAGGCAAAATAAAAATCTCCCCAACAATTCTAAAGAAATCATTACAGAGGTGCTCCTAGCAATACCATAGTTAATGGTGAGTTTG